GCAATACTAAAAGAATGAGCAAGACAATTTTCACAATATAAATATTTACAATATATACATTTGAGTTAATCAAAGTATATACCGAGTTTTAATCTAAGACTTGTGACATTTGACTAATAATGTAATGGTGTAACCAGTCACTGGTAGTGTAAGTATAGCACTACTGCAAGTTGACACATATTTTACTAGAACGACATGACAAGCTTATTTAAAAAGAACTGGTTGATTATATTTACTGGGGTACGTTTCTGCCAATGGAGTGACTAGTCAAGGCATCCCATTGCTTGACACATCACACACATCACTGATGTCAACGTCATCAGTGCTCACCGAGTTTTGATTCATAAATCAGACTCAATATGTCAATGGCTGTACTCAGCTCTAGGGAGCATAGGTAGTCTTTAAAGCGAGACTTTTAAGACATTTCTGCAAAAACTGTGCAAAAAATCCAGCGTTGAATGTAATGAAACAGCATTTTTCTGGGTGAGAACCGGATGCTCCCCAGAGCTATAACCGGGCTGATGTATATATATTAGACCGTGGCAATAGTCAGTCGATGGAGTTCTATGCCTACTGGGGACCACGAACCAGAATTTGACTTCCTCCAGAGAGGCATGAGGAGCAATGGCCTATAGACAACCCCTAGTAGTTGGAAGCAGTCTATATCTGCCATCTACCATGTCAGGCACCCAGAAAAGTAGGAATCCCAAAACAAACTACAGCTGGTTAAAAATTGTAAACCAAAACCAGAACGAGCAAGCAAAACTCCCCAATCAGAAAACAAGCATTTGCAAAATTCAATTGCAAAATTCACCCACACACTTTAAAACTCGGTATAAATGTGCTTACCCGCTTAAACCAAAGACTGTGTAATCTAATACTGAATTATACAACTCTTAGGCTGTTTAGCACATTAAAAAATAATATAATCTGGCCATGACAACAATTTACTGCCATGTGAGTAAATATGTAGTATCACTTTTCTGGAGGGGTATATGCTGCGTAGAACATAAATTATCTCATTCATTTTCATGATGTGCTTATCAAGGAATGGAGCAGAAAGCCTTCTTTTATATTGTAAGCAATTGCTAAAATACACTAAAATATAGCCAAGATTATTGTCATAAGTGAGCATGGCTTTGGGTTTCCACAAATTTGTTATATAAAGAAGAGAGAACAATAAATGACAGAATTAATCTAACTACTATTCACTGGATAATATTTTAAGATAAATTTAGGGGAAACTCATGGGCAGCACAAGCAACCACATGAATAAAGCATTCTATACTCCAAAAATCAATTGCCAGCATAGTAAATTTTTGTTGCCTAAATTCAAGATACAGTACTAAAATATGTAGTGACTAGATTACTTGCTAGCTAAAATATCATAATATAATTAACGCATCACAGTTTACAGTGAAAATTCCAAGCGCCATTAGGTAAAATTTATCTACAGGATATCATAAATAAATGCATGCTAGACAAAATTACGTATTGCCTTCATTATCTGTACAAGTATACATATACAATCACAGGTTACATTTGGCAACTTTAGCAGGCTTCACTATACAGCAGACCGATGCCCTCATCACACTAAGTGCTACTATGGAAAATTAGGCATTATCAAGAAATTGAAGGATACAATTAAAGAACATACATTCGTACACACACGCAATTACTCAGGATACTATAAGCATATAGGAGATTAACTATGGAGTACCAAGTAACAATTTGAGGCCCCAAACCTTCTCAAGCACACACACAGGAAACAGTCCACAGATTAGCACTAGATTATTAGCACGATAAAATACCCATGTTACAAGGACAGGTTGAATGAATTGAAACGTGGATGCTTAAGAAATGCACACATTGCTAATACAGTATGGTTAAATATAAACCATATTACCTATATTACATATAGGTATTGTAATATGGTTAGTACCAACTGGTCACGATAGCTAAGGTCTCGATAACTAAGGAAGTATCAATTGACCAATTGATACTTCCAGATGTCTGGATAACTGAAAATACAGATACTGTACTTGAATGAAAGATAGGGAGGTAATTTTTTGGTAGTTTTGGTATTTATTTTAAAACACATGGGTTAAAAATACATGTAATAGTTTTAAAAGGATTGCACTAATGCCAGAAACCAATGAAATTTGGAGATATTTGATATAAATAAGTGCTCGCTACCACTAAATTGGGTCAAGACTTCTCAAATCATCTAGACATATAAATTTCTGGTTCATCACCCCCCATTAACTGGATATGCTCCACTTAATAAGGGTGGAGAACCAGGAATTTCCATGTCCAGATAATCCAACAATCAGGAAAGTGCAGATCCATATAATGGTAGCTCCAATATATATAGAGGAGAGTATTTATAAGGAAGAACATGCTGTGTGAAGAGGGGTGTAACCAGGATAAGGGGTCCATAACAAGAGTACACATACTAGGCAGACCCAGGATAAAGAACACAATGGTGGGGGCCCCAAATAGGACACAATGGTAACATATATGGGGTGATAACAGGCTGATGGGCCATACAAGGGGAATGCCAAGACTAAGGGAACAAAGACGAAGGGTCACACAAGGGGAAGGAACCAAGACACAAGGTCATATACAGTATGTAGAAGACCTATGACTAGAGGCCACAAAGGGGGATGAGACCAGGACGAGGGAGCAAATGGAAGCTAGACATCTGAGCCAAAGATAAAATCCTGGTTTGGAAAAACATTACACTGGTCAATTAAAGATCCAGGTGTGGCCCAGAAGCTGGAGCTTGATTCCCACAAACACGGGTGAGAAATAACACACACGACACACACAAACACACACATTACAGAGCATGATTAACAAAAATGTGGCAGAATTACAACTAACAGGAAATAGTTAACAAAAGGTAACTTTTTACAATATACAACAATGTAATACCATGCAACAAAACACATAATTACCTTCAAGACAAACAACAAACTATAGAACAAAACATTTAATACAAATGAGCATTAGATTAGTCTGGTAACAACCTGGACTACCAACACATGAAACACAGATGTTAGCCATTATCTAACTGATAATTTATTTCACTAGCCATGAACAACCTACAATATTATCTCCTATTTACTACATCCACAATCTACTATTTGTGTTAGATTAACTTACACAGTTTCTGTCACTGGATTTCACATCTCTGGACTTCTCCAAAATATTTACCAAAATAGAATATACTGTACTATTTTTGCCAATCTTATGATTATTAGCTCCTCTGACTTATTAAAAAATGTTGAAATTTTATAACAGCCATGAGTTTAATTGTTCATGGTACAAATACAATAAGTTCTATTGTATGATGAGTTCTCTTACTCAATAAGTGTTATCTTTAACCCATTTGAGAAAGACTATGATCAAACACAACCAGGCCATATTGACTCTCACAACCCAGTGAGAAAAATATGGTGGGAAAGAAGATCCTGGAAATACCGTACGTTTTCATAAAATTTTGTTTATCATGAGCTACTTTTGTATTTTTGTCTATCACTCAACACAGTTTAAGGTACAATATGGAGAACGCTAGCTTTGTGATCAGGTCCCTTTTTCGGATTGAGATTTAGGGCAAGGATCCTGGGACCAATGTTAGATCTTCACCTATTTTATTGTTCTTCTGTGTTGTTAGTCATGGCTAATCAACACAGGATATGAGCCCCATTATTTTTGTCACAAGCTGTTCTTGAATTTTCTGGTGATAATCCGAGGTTGTGAGTGTGGGAGTCTCATGTGTTCCTCGCACAACTGTCAGTCATGTCTTGATGTCTAGCTCTGTTCACATCTTGCTTTGGTCTATTTTTCTTGGTTCTGATCATCTCGCAGCTATTTGAAAGCTGGGGTGGCACATGAATGTATCTGCATTCTTCCATTGTTTACACATGATGTTTTGGGGTCAGTTCTCTCCTTTCTGCCTGGAGGTTGGGTGTTGTAGTTTTCCTTCATATACGACCATGTCCTTTGTCTCTACCGGGTTTTGTCTAGCCAGGTGTGCGCTTAGATGGCTCTGGTGCTTTATTCCTATTCTACAGTCGATACTCTCCTCTGTTCTCAAGAGCACAGGCTCTTGATCACCTTTCGTTTTATGTAGTTCTGATGGTGCGTTTTGCTCTGGGCATTGGTCTGTCTTTTCTTCCCACCTTTGGCCTCCCATGGCCATTAAGATCTGATTATGCTATTTTCTAGCAATATTTTCTGCAATCAGTTACCTGTCAGTACAGTAGTTCGACACTGCAGGGAGGGAGGACCCTCGATATAAGCCTTAACATGTATACATACACTGGTTGCCTGTCCCTCAACAAAATGATTTATTATTATATCACAACTGTGTCAATCACATCCTTGGAAAAGAATGCCGTGTCTTAGAAAGCTATTCATCAAGACAAAATGCTATTTGTTAAGCCAATTAAACATTATGTATTGAATAACTTAAATAGTTTAGTAGATAGCAAAGAAAAAAAAAAAAGTTCCACAAGAAATACACCCAGGTCCCCTATTTCCAATAATGTATTATATAGAATAACAAACCTGCATCAAAAGATATTGCAGCTGGCAATTGTCACTTATTATGGTTCATTCTGCCAAGCTCCAGAAACAGTTTTAATTCCAATTAAAAGCATTATGTTTATATATGTAGTTTATGGCATATGCTTGACTGTACCAGTCAATTGTATATTTAATATTTGAAGAATTATATTCTGATCAAATAGCTAAGTAGGTGTTTGTAATGCAACAAGCTCATCATTGCACTGAGTTTGAAGAAAAGCAACAAGATATCCAAGCTATACTGCATTTGTATATTTGGTCATGCATCTCAAAAGCTTACAAACCGACTGAAGATTTCGGCATAATGTGAAGCTTCATGCCTCCTACTGCTTACATCAATACTTGCAGGCATCTTGCAAGCGTGCCCTCTACCTACACGAGCCCTGGATATCGTGAGAGAACCTTACCAGCATCTGCAACCACTCCTGGGCCTTCACTCTTTTCTGCTTCCTTTATGGGGGCAGCATTTTTCTCAGGAACAGAATTGCTGGGGGTTTCTTTGGATGGGAGAGAAGCAAGGGGGGGCTCTGGGACTGTTGACGGGGAAGTGGGTGGAGGGGGTTCAGAGATCGCAGCAGGAGTAGAGGAATCTATTTCAGCCTCACCCTTTTCCTTTGGACCACCGTCCCCATCATCTTTTTTGAGGGCTGTCTTCAGGATCTGTGGAAAATCAGATCACAAGCTAATATACTTACAGTACATTTAATTAATATCTCAGGGTTTTTCCTCCCTCCAGGTTGATGTGTCTACACCCCCCCATTAAAGAAAGATAAGCAAGGTAATGATGAATTAATGAGAATGTATTACATCTCTCTAATATGTCTATTCTGTATATCTATATGCAGTATCTATATCTATACATGTACAGTAAATGTATATTTACTATACATGTATAGATATTTATCTATACATCTACTTGTATATCTCCCTCTTCAGTAATCTTGGGGAGTGACTTTTCCTTTTTTACTTTACTCAAGTACACTCGTGCTTTTGGCAAGCAACTATAAACTATATTTATTAACCAAGCCAACATGTGAAGCTCATCAACATATTTTCCACCTGACCCATCAAAACTCCTTAATACCTGAATGTAGCTGTCATATCTTTACAAGAAATAGGTCTATGCCCTCAAAGAAAGTTCCCAGACAAACAGCACCTCCCTGGCTTCATAGGATTATAGGGAGTACCTCCCTGTGATCAATCACTCTGATCATAGCTGCACTTTAGGGGTTACGCTTCCCTAAGCAATGTGCAGTGTCATATTGTATGACACACAGACAAAATGGGATTTTAGGACACTTGCAGCACAATGATACAGCTCAAAAAAAGCTTTATACATTAAATCAAAGCCTTATTTATTAACACAAGTGAACATACTTGCTTTTCAACACTACAAACTGTATAAAAATCCCTTGTTAACATTACAGAATAATACATCTTTATAAATTAATTTCCTCTTCTTTATTATATTTGCTTTAGGTGCTACAAACTAAATGTAAAGGTGATTGTGGCCAAAATTACCCTGAGAGTTAATGTAAGCTTGAGAGACGCCAGGCCACCGCTCGCACCACTCAGTGTGTACTCTTCATTCTTCACCTCCAGATTACGTTCCTTCAGCAACACATTCAGATCCAACTCGATCTTACCCTGTATTTGGCTTGTTTTATGATCAATGACCTGAAATTCACAATATATATATATATTAATAAAGCTTAAAATCAAGTCATGTATGGTGATATTACAATGACTACTCCTGTACCATTAAGTAGTCAATGCATTACTGTTTTTAAAACATTACTTATATATTACACTATGGCATTCATAATTATTTAAGCATTACTACTAATTTATTACTGTACTGTATATGCCTTTTACTACTGTACAACTTTTCTTTGTGGAACATAACATTTATGGAATATTTGCATCATTTTACTTTTCCACAAACATAATCAATTAAAAATAAGAATTATGCTTCAAAAACAAACCAATATCATAAGATTATCAGTTTGTTATTTTTATATTTCCTATCTCAAAACACTTCTTAACCATGAATTTATTGGCTAGAGTGTTCAAAATACAATAATAATGAGTATATATAATAATATTTAATAAAACTACGGTATGTAATGATCTGGTGTTACTTTGCCAGCGACGAAGTGAGGGCAATTCTCATCATCTACATTATAATATTTGTGTGTCCTTACTTAGAAACATTTACATACGGTACTAGCAACAAGCAGTGCTTTAGTGGGCGTATGCTCCACAGCAGATAGGTAACCACATGCACAAAAGCTATCATCTTCAAACATACTGCTACTACATAAAGCTTCAGAATCTCTCAAACCCTTGTCAGTGAGCCCATATACCTGGTGAGGGTTTCGGGAGTTCTACTCTCAATGCAGTACAGCTCTGTAACAATACGGTACCTCGAATCACTTATTTGGCTGCCAGTACGTTATTATCACTAACCACATACAGTACTTGTATTGGAAATCATAAATTGGAACTATGAAATCTTTTGTCTAGACTGGTGGTTTTCTGAACCAAACAAAAATTTATATACCCCTTAAAATAAATCTAATAAAGTATATTTCCTTCATAGAAACAATTTAAGTTATACCTCAATTTTCAGTTCCTGTGTACGTGGGTTTCTCACAAGGAAAGTGAACCCTTCCTCGAACACTGGATCGTTAGTGCGCTGACGGACAGACGTCTCCTGCTGAGTGTTGCCAACATGCAGCCGCACAAACGGATCAGGGATGGTCTGTTGGTGCATGAAATATTATGAACATTCATTCTAGATACAGTATCACAAATCACACACACACACAAGTAAAAATATATATAGGCTAGTTTTCATATTTGATGGTTATTATTACCATTATCTTTTCTAATTATAGTACAGTGTAATAACACCCGAGTACAATTCAAGCACAATGGTGTTAACATAGAATTTATTGCATATATTTTAAGATGGTGGTTCTATTAGATGAATACAGTTTCAATTACAAAAAATCACTAAATGAATATGAGAAGGTTCTGTCTGAGCATGGCACTTGGATGTTCCGTAAGACAAAATCTCTGCCTATCCAATTGGGCCAATCATGATAGTTAGGGTAGGGTAATAATCTGCACCAGCACAACAGGCACCTTTTCAAATATCCCTGTTGGGTCATACTGGTGTTAGGGAGGAAATGGAGAAAAGACTACACAGAATGATCACCAAAAGTTTAGTAACATTTGAAGTCTTTCCAAGACATTCCTGTATAATATATACTAAGTAGTAGTACTTCAAACTGCCTGTTTTCCCACCAGCTTGCTATTCTAACTGGCACCAGATGGCAGCACCCAATTTCAGAGGTGCAAAGGTGACACCTCAGCTCTACCAACCCCAAACCCTGATGTTAAAAGGTACGCAAAAAAAGGTACAGGGAGCGCTAGACATGACAATCACTAATGTGAACTAAGCACACCCTATGTAAAAGTGCAAAGCCCATACATGCATAAGCAGCAGGGCTAGGTGTGATTGCAGATACAATGCACAGTTAACTACAGCATTATACTACTACTCACCAGTAAGCCTCACAGTAGAGAACAAGTTCTATGCATTGCCCAGAAGTAAGGTGACACAGGTCTTAATGGTTATTTCAAAGAGGGACTCGAACCCTTCAGAGCAAGTATAGGTACAGTGAAACCTCAGTTTTCGAATGCCCCTTTTTTTGAATGTCTCGGTTCTCGAGCTCAATTTCTTAAACTTTGGCTCGGTATTCAAGGTTTGCCTTGGTGTTCAAGTTTGTTGATACACGTACGGGCCGACCGAGCATGTGGCGCGCATCAGTTTACCAGTGTCTCCTGCCTAGTGATGACCACGCTTGAATTCTTTGTGAAGAATTTTGTTGTTTTTGTGCTTTTTGGGCTTCTGAACATAAAAGTTCTTATTATATATCACACCATGGGTTCCAAGGAAGTCAGTGGTAAAGTACAACCTAAGAAAGTAGTTGTGAGGATGACGATAGAGGAAAAACACGAGATCATTCATAACGAGACAATGTGATGTCTCACTTCAAACAAGAGTTATAACGTTGGGAAAACAAGAGTCTATAGACAGATTCTTAGTAAGACAAACAAGCAAGCATTGAACCACAACCAGGTCCTAGTGGTATGCCTGCAAAATGTAAGGGAGTACACCCCAGAAATGTCATCACTGCTGTTATAACGGAAAGGGACTCCCCTTCCAAACACTAACATCTCTCCTCCTTGCCCCTTCCTCACCTCCTTCCTTACACCAACAAGAGTCCTCAATAAAGATAAGATATACTTGTACATACTATAGTACAAAACATATATAGTAGTATGTATAACATGTATTTTTAAGTTAATATTTTTGGGGATGTGGAACGGATTAATTTAATTTACATTATTTCTTATGTGAAATTTGTTTCGGTTTTCGAACTGTCTATGGAAACATTAAATTAAAAAATGCAGGTACCACTGAATCTCTGAGAGGGCAGAGTAAACAGAAGGCTAACCACCAAGAAAGGAAATCCTGGTCCATAGTTGTATTGAAATACTGTACTGACCTTGGACGCATACAATGTGGACAACAAAGACAACCGAGAAGGAAATTTCTCTAACCATGAAGTAATGGTTATGCTTTATGCAGTGTAAACCAATAGGATGCACTATCTGATGAGACATGCTTCCTAGATACACCAGATGAAAGAGGGGGCAGGTAGGCTGGGACTCAGGTGAGCCTGCTTCCCCAAGCCAGACCAGGCAAGCAAAGAGGAAGGCTGGCTGGGACGCTTGGTGACTCATGCTGCCACCTGGTGACAGTCAGACACATCACAATTAGGATGTTTGCACCGTAGAAATTATCATTTGCCTTGTTGCCTGCAGTTACTAGTTTTATTGTGCTTATGCATTTATACAAGGGTTTTTGTACAGTACTTGCTTTTGGGTTGATTTCTGATATCTGTCTTCTCCTTGCCCTGAAGAGTGAGTCAGATTCTGGTCTTGGCTCCTGGTAAGCAAAGGCTGGTCTCAGAGGCATGATCCCTCTCTTTAAGGCATGACTAAACCAACATTGATTTAAACTAACTAAACAAAGCTGCCAAAGGAATATAAGAAAATTTATCCTTTCGCAAACAGAGCAGTAGATAGTTGGAACAAGTTAAGTGAGAAGGTGGTGGAGGCCAAAACTGTCAGTAGATTCAAAGCATTATATGACAAAAGTGCTGGGAAGACGGGACATCACAAGTGTAGCTCTCATCATCTAACTACACTTAAGTAATTACTTATGTCAGTATGCTACTGAAAGGGCATTTCCTGAGAAAAAGGTGTGTATATTTACTCAGCCTGAAAGAGAGGCCTGAGGCTAATGTAAGACCTATTGACTAACCCAAACCAAAGCTTGTCTAACACCGATACAATGAAAGGCAAGAATAGCTAGTGACAAATGAAAAATACAAATACAGTCTCTAAGAACTAAGTGAAGGTCAGACCTGAGAATTAACAAACCCCGGTTAATCCTGAAACAAAACTGATGTACCCAAGATAATGTGCCAAACACAAATGGCACTTTATCTTGTCATGGAACAAAGTGCCAAGAAACCGCTGTGTAATGGGAACCCAAAGAGATGGAAGCCACTGATGAAGAACAAACTGAACAGCACGAGCCCACTGCACAGCAAATCAAGTCTTAATCTTGCTAAACAATACTCAGGACCTATCAGATAGAATATGATAGGGTTTGTGGCAAGGGACCTTGTGTTGGCATTATTACTACCATCTGGTGACAAATAAGGTTAGCAGCCAGACAAGTGAACAGGCTTTATGCAAGACCACTACTTTGTGATTCTTGTGATGTCAAGTAAGGCATGGAAAGGAGTGTTTATTAGTGAACTGTCTGTGGTCACCATGCTTTAACTATTGACTACATGTTGACAATTTCGAAAGTTGTTCTACTCCAGCAGCCGTCCTAGCCTAGTCTGCGAGGCTACTCGTCTTCAAGTGGTATACAAACCACACATGGCCCCCGTGGGTTACACGGGCCCAAAGGCCCATGTAGCCATTGTAGCCAGTATGATTTTTCAAACAAGGATATTTGAAAAGATGTCTGTTGTGCTGGTGCAGAATTGCCTTAGGAAGTATACAAAATAGAATAATTGAGAAATAAAACTTTGTACAATTATTCTACAAACCTTGCAAATTATTCATTATACAGTATTCTTAATTATTTAAATCTAAAATACAATTAAGAACAGTAGGAATCATAAGAATTTTAAATTAATAATATCAATAATGTCACATATAGGACAATTACAGTACAGTACAGTACTAGCAATTTTGGTATAATACATCATGTACAAGGGAGAATAAAGCTTGCCAACAAAAGAAAACACGAAACCAAGCTCAAAATCACTAAATACCGTACACAAACTGATTCTTACTTGGCTTTAGAACAGTTAGGGGATTTCTATGTTGAGTGGACTGATCTGACAGCCTTCTCAATAATACCATCAGCAATAAACATACTGGAAACATTTTAGTGCTAAATATAGTACCAGTTCTTTAATTTACACATACTGTACAGTGCCAACATCTTTAAATTGAAATTGAAATGTATATTTCTAAATGATTATATTAACTCTGCATCATGCAAGACTGCATCAGTGGTTGTTTACCAAAGCACACACATTTTTGCAAATCCTTAAAAAACCAGCGATGAGTGTAATGAAATGCCATTTTCTGGGTGAGCCCTGGAGGCTCCCCAGAGCTTACGGGGCTGATAGAAATGAATTAGACCGTGGCATCAGTCGATGGAATTCTTGACTACCGGAGACCACGAGCCAGAACATGGCCCCCTCAGAGAGGCATGAGGAGCAATGGCCTATGGAAACCCCCATGTGTTTGGAAGTGTAGCAAGTACAAACAATATACTCACTCCAACTTCTCATTAGCTTAATGGCATAACTAATTGCAGAAGCTATAATCTCTTCCCTAATTACAGGTAACAGTTCTTCCATCTTCCTATCCTAGTGGAGGAAGCCGAGGTGTAGTCACAGAATATAAGCAAGCATAAAGTGAATAGCCGACAGTACAATTTCCACAGTCAAGAATGTAGCACTCGGCATATGCAGTTATAATCAACCCCAAGATGCTACAGCTTCGATACAGAGCAGACATCAGACTAGGACCGCATCGAGCTACAGCGCTCTCCTACATAGAGCTCTGCGACTCCAGCCTCACTCAGCTCCAAGCTCCGCCTCAATGTCTACGACACTGCTGCATCCAAGACTACTAAATAAACATGAAAACCCACTAAATACTGTGTATCTACTCTACTCAACAACGTAACACAATTGTACATTACAGAAGCATTCCATGTCTACCATCGACCGGGGTTTGGCACCCAGAAAGGTAAGCATAACAAAACAAACCCCACATGGTAAAAATTGCTACCTAAACCCAAACAGGGAAGCAGAACTCCCAAACTAAAACAAGAAAACAAGCAAACGTCACTAACGTCGTTGTGCCGATTGTCCGTGCAGCCCTCTCTCCCAGAGGGGGATGGGGGGCCCAAGACCCCTCGCACCAGCTGTTACAACACTCATTTCAGAGGCTTAGCATCAAAAAGAATGCAAAAAATCAACCAAAGAGAGGGAGGGTGCCGGGGAGCCTCCAGGGCTTACCCAGAAAATGGCATTTCATTACTGTACATTCAGCACTGGTTTTCTGTGGGGAGCCCCTACGGTTCCCCTGGAGCTACCGAAACAAAGAAAAGTGACAACAGGGACTTACACGGGAGGTGGCCACCACTTGCATCTCAACTTGAAGTCGAGACAACTGGCTGCAACCTGTAACTCAAAGCGACTCACGTCCGACTAGGGCCAGGAACGTTGACCAAGTAATGTATGGCCAGGACCCTGTTCGACCTCCAAAATCCCTATGCCCAAATGTCAGCCCAACACCTGTTACTGAAAATGGCAGCCAAAGCAACAAACTTACGAATGTCATGAGCATGAGGATAGACCGCAAGCTGGCTGGACCAAATAACCCTGCGAACGACCTGGGAAACCCGAGCTCTGAACGGGTAACAAGGGAAACCAAATTTCATCCCCAGCCACAGAGACCGTGGTGTGCAGGTAATGGCAAAAAAAGCCCCAACCGGGGTTCTTCGGTTGGGGCCTTTTTTTTTTTTTTTTTTAGTTTGGGAAGTTCTGCTTAACAGTTCGGCTTTCAGTAGCAATTTTTTTAACCAGACAGGGTTTGTTTCAGGGCACCTACCTATCTGGGTGCCTGACCCGGTCCATGGCAGACACAGAATGCTTCCAACCACATGGGGGTTTCTATAGGCCAATGCTTCTCTGAGGGGGGCCGGGATCTGGCTTGTGGTCCTCTGTAGGCAGAACTCCATTCCCTTTGACTGATGCCATGGTCTAATACATTTATATCAACCTGGATAACTTTGGGGAGCCAAAGGGACTCCCCCCAGAAATACCCCAATTGGTTTTTGAGTTTTGCAGAAGAATAGACTTGATACCGAATAAAATAAGATTTCAAAGTATCCACTGGCAGTAAACATTATGCAAACACACAAAATGCAGAGTTTTAGTTAATGTTCCGAGACATTCTCTGGTTACCAGAAAATGGAATGTCAGAAAAAGATGCATAAACACAATTCTGACAAAACCATGAGGTGCACCTTCTGTGTAAACGCATTCAGCAAATAATGTAAGCAGAATGGAATTACCAAAAGGTAAAATTATAGGACAAGATATATGTATTTGTGAATACAATTAAGTTTAATTAGGGCTCCTGGAAGATTTTTCACAGGATTAACTGCATTGGCACATAATCAATAATTATAACATTTTCAGGGCTTTGTAGTTTTAGGAGAATAGTCACAATAAAGTTGAATAGCTTCAAGACAATTTATGAATGCAAAACTAGTTAAAAAAAAATGTCAGACTTTTAATATTTTGGGGGGATTCTACAGGTAATTTTAATGCTAAACATCTTTATAAAGCCTTAAATATAAAAATGATTGAGATTTTACCAATGTACCACAGCACATAAGCAAAATAAAACCAATTTTTTTAAAAGCCATTAAATCCTGTAAAACCAAAGCATTATCATGTACAATGCACCCACAAGTAACCACATGCCAAAATGTAAACACCTTTCATGCAGTCAAAGAGGACAAAAAGCACCATGCAGTCAACTGACAATGGTTTACCTTATGTGACGGCTGGCCAGCACATCCAGGAGAAAATGGTGTGATTAATGAACAACTGAAGATAAAAGTAGAAATAATAAACCTGTCTGAAAGTAAAGTAGCAAGGCCAACTGACGTCTTAACCGTATATACAAGTTTCCAGATTCAGAGTTATGTTAACACTTACTCATGCTAAGAAGGGAAAATCCATTTCATGGAAAAATGAAATGAAATCAGGAATGTGCATGCCTTAAATTTGTGTTGGCAACATTATAAATTTGTCGGTTGCCAAATTCTAAAATTATCTTTTACAATTTAGATACAATGTACAGAATCTAAAAAAGCACTTACTTAAACACATCCTGCACTAACTATAAACCTAGATATAAATTCTTACCAAATCAATTCCTGAACAAGTACTGCATAGTAATTCAATGAAGGCAAAGGAAGTTCATTAATAATATAACGCTCTCTAAATTCAATTACTACTATATTGGAATACTGGAACACTTTATGATATACATGACCTGTACCAAAAACATACTATGTAATGCAACGAATATCTAAAATATATCTAGAGTGTGAAAAGCGCTTTAATCACCTTCTATGGCCGAGTGCTCAATAACAGACAATATGTACCATAGAAGACCTAGCCCTGTCCATAGAGGACAAAATAAAGTGTGTATATTCTGATACGTAAGTATTAGAAATAAGTGGCCACATTTGTGGTAGAAAAAAGCACAACCACCACATCCAACATCCTTCCTTCAGCAAATGATTTTCAAAGGATTCAGTTTACCCCTTGAATACACACTACTGTATTCTATAAGACCATATTAATTAAATTGTCACGCTTCAACCAACATTCTTTAATACACTTACACATGTATAGGGATTCATCCTTAATCCCCCATAAAGTAAAATATTTTTAAACTGTTTCTATCTGTGAGCAAAGTGCAATTTCTTGAAACTCTAGTTATTAACTGCACCCACACATGTAATTCTAAGTATAAAATTATTCTAAAAATGACTTGGCACTCACATGCCACCAGTGATAAACATCTTCCATAGATTCTATTATTGATAGTCGACTAACCGTGCAGATGAACCTTACATGCATCACATAACTTTACCATAAGACAGTACAGTACTGTAATAGCTGAAAAAAAAAGCATGGGGACATACTTGTTTGAACCCGTGTCATGCTAAGATAATAGAAATACTCTGCCAAAACTCTTAAATTTTAAAATCCAGTTGGAAAAATTCATTAGGGGCAAATAGGAGACCTTTGACAAGCCACAGACTTCCTGTCATCATCAAGGCAACTTGTAGTGTTAGTAACCCTTGAGGTTATCTCGAGATGATTTCGGGGCTTAGAGTTCCCGTGGCCGGTCCTCAACCAGGCCTCCTTTTTGTTACACACCCCCCAGAAAGCAGCCCGTAGCAGCTGTCTAGCTCCCAGGTACCTATTTACTGCTAGGTGAATAGGGAACCCTCAGTTCCCACCGAGACTCCGATCTCAGTCGGTCCCACAGAGACTTGGTCTAAATCCGAGATCGAATTTACTCTCGGGTAAATTCAGGTAAAAATTTGTATATATAGGCATATATAATTTAGGTATATTTCTTAAGAATGCTCTGAAATTTGGAATTAGAATTACTACTAGTAATGTGCATAACTATTTTGTCAACAAAGTGAAGTGCTGCAGAAGTGGAACAGTCACCATTGAAAGATGGCAAAGTGGGTATTTCACCATAGCTCAAAAAATAAAACAATTACTGTATACACATTTTTTATATTCATAAACATCACCCCACACCATCAGCAAAACTTGCTGTGAAAAGGGCAGTAACATTTGCGATTAAGTCAATTTTAGTTTCACCCGAAAATTTAACCATTGTTTTAAACCCATGGCAACGACCATGAAACTTCAGACGTTTCAAGTGCAGGCTCTTCCTGCACTCGGCAAAGATAAGTTCAACATGCAAACTAATACTCTTTAGGAAGAGTGGGAGATGAAGAATATACAGCACTGTAAACTGGCTAAAACCTTACTGTGCATTTATTACTAACAGAAAATGCAGCCAAAATATTAATAACTTTAACGTAAAAAGTTAACACTTTCACCCGCGGAGAACGCAATTTGCGTCCATTTATAATCTCACGGATGTCCGGCGGGGACACATTTTGTGTCTGAAATTAAAATGTGTTAAAATTTTATTTATTGTTCAATTATCTGTCTTGACCCAGTAAATCTTCCAACTGTCTTGGCCCAGAATGCGTCTCACCCATCTCATATTAACCCAATATATTTTATAATCATGAGCTCTATCCTCTGAAGTATCAATTTGGCTTTAATGTGTCGAGTAAAGTTTACACATCTAACTTGTCAAATTGCCGAGGTAAATGATGAACTGTGCTTACATGCCAAACATCACATGGCTTATATTAAAGTTACTTCTAGATATGAAATTATGGTTAATTATTTTTAAATTGCTTATTCTATACTACTTTATTTATATTATTTTGATCTTAATTGTACCAAGCCAACATAAAAGCTGTTACCGATTTGCTTATAATCGATTTATATTATAGTACTGCAGTCACAATTTAAAGAATTGAAGTTACAGCAGTCTTATTTTCCTAGTAATACAATTACCAAGGCATAATGTGCAGCTTCATACAAACTGCACATTATATATTATGTAAAACACATTACAATAGTATAATGAAACAAAAATATATACCGTACAAATACCAGGTACAGTATTTAATATATTTAAACATGGCCAGATCAACGACAATATCTTAACATCGAAGTAAAAAATTAAGCTTACAGAACTACTCACATTAAGTTTCTTAGCCGAGTCAACCCACACCATGAGAACAGCCCCATGCAGTGGATTCTTGGTCGTTGTCTGCAGGGCTCGGATTTCTTCTAGTTGCTGCCAAGGAAGACAAAACAAGTTTCCGATGAGAACCTTAAATTATAATATCTACAGCATTAAATATACAAGGAAAATATAAATTATTTCTGAGCTGGTGCCCTCAGTGGTATGCCCAGAGATTATACACTGTCACCCTAGGAACAATATCATCTCGAGTGTCTCAAACTGTTTCATGGCCAACCAGGAGATAGTACCACTATCACAGCATTTGTCCCTCGCCTATAAAAACCACTGGTGGCAACACGGCAGTAACAGCCAAAGGTTGGCTTCTCATGTGAACCGAGAACCCACTGCAATAGCACCACGAACAGCTTGTTTCAGTGTGTCATGTAAAACGTGGCTCCCTCCTGATGATGAGGGTACCCCATGCAGTCATCAAGGAATAAAATGTGGCTAACAAAGAAGGCGGGTCAGGAGCATTACCTGTGCAGGACCACCAGTGTCACTTTCCAAGCACCAATGAAGAATCAATGAGCAAGCGAAAACAATTAGTAGCTAATGGTCAATGGGGTGGGAGATACCACCAAATACTGTAAATGTCTAATGACCTCCAGTGATATACGTAATTTAATGTCATACAGTATTGTACTGTAAATGTTTGAAACTCTGTAGCAGGCAACCAAAATTTAATTCTTTTTTAATGTACTCTATTATTATATGGTCAAAATGCACAATATACTCTACTATATGCACATACTACTATTCTACTGTATTTATATACCAACCAGTTCCAAGGATGCTGCATTATCATTCAGGTCTAACCAAGTAGCTCGGACATGTATACGACCAGACTTGGCATCCGAGAGTGGCACCCACTGAAACAACAAATATACATTAACCCTGTTTTCATATACAACTAATAAATAACCGAGTACTTTCAAACAGCAAGGTAAACACTAAGAACCATGTCTATTTTAGCACAAAAAGGATTTATAGCACTGAAGGTTGACTAAGAATCTGTTTAACAATGCATAATGCTGCAGGATCTTATAATACAAGTGTATTTTCCTATTTTATGAACAATACAAAAGATTGAAAGTACAGTACTGTACATACTAGAAAAAAAAAATAGGTAAATAATTGCTTACATTATACTTTAGTCAATACTATATACATTTTTAATAAAAAACCTAATACTGCTGACAGGTTTTAAAATTTTATTTCTACACTTAATTGTAATGCAATCTTTCTTATGAAATAAGGCAAATTAATGTTTCCTAACAAACTCACCATGTCCAGCTCGCCACTCTTCCAGATGTCGTGAACATCCAGATTTGCTCTGCAGGTACGCAGAAAATAAATGAGGTTAAAATATTGCTCTACACAATATATTACGATATTCAAAATTTTAGTAACTACAGTACTTTTCAAGTCAATGTAAACACACGTAATACAAAAGATTAAATTTAATGATACAAAACAAACGTAAGCAATGCACCAAGATCTTTGTATAAACTTAGTGCATGCATGTAAAACAATGTTAATGATACTGTAATTACAAATATAATGATATATATAAGATCTCTCTCAGTAGAGTATAGCACAGCATTTTCACTGATATATATCACATGCTCAGGTATGTGTGTGTGGTACTGCACTTAAACATTTGATTTCCAAAAATGTAAATACTGAGTTTGCTTGGTTAAGCTCTTGACTCTTACATTTTCATATAATCTATCTATTTGTTTTAATTAGTTTATACCTATTTGAAACCCAAACTTGCTCAGTAGCCAAACTCAGGGGCAGTGTCAAAACTAATACAAAATGAACCCAATACCAGTACAATATAGCCAATTGGTCTCATCATACGAGCAAGATCAGTGACCGGAGGGTGAACTGCATGCTGCCGAGCTTTAATCACATGCCGCCAGCCTCGTGTTATATCCATTTACCTAATAAAATTTAACAAAGCATTTCTATAATTCTTTAATAAGCCAGAAAAAATAAATTAAGCCTATTTTAAGCTCAATTACAACTGAAGTGAAATATTAGCATCTGAATATAGCTGTTACTATTTTACTTTGTCAATTTGCATTTTATCAATAATGTAAACAAAGTTACAGTATCTTGAAATTAAATATCAGTAAATACACTACATCAAATGCTGACGACTGGCAAGACAAGTCTTAGCATGCAGCTTACATTTTACAAGTTTGAGTGCATGTTTCTAGTTTTATCTAACTAATAAATTAAAGTTTTTGAGCTTAAGTATTTCTGGTTTACTTCTTTTAAATATGAACAATCATTCTTGGCTATGAATGAGTTGGTGGGCTTCTGGAGAGGTGCCTTGGTTTGTTTGACTGGGGGTGCCACTCTTAATGTGCCTGGTTGCAGATATCTGCCATTATTTATATGCCATTCAGGATCTTCTTTATCTTTATCTTGAGGGTGCTCACAGTGATGTATTATTTGTTGATCAAGTGCCCTTAGCTCCTTGTTCCAAGGTCTGTCTCGGGTTGCTTGCTGTTTTTAGCCAGCCTGTGGTCTACCCTAATGACCAGAGTGTGCGGCATTGTCTGCTGTATTTTCTAACATGTTTTGGGCTCATTTGTGCTCGGAGGTTTTGGCATTTCAACAGGGTGTTGGTGGCACGATTTCTTGTCCATGTGCTTGTGTGGCAATGGGTAGGGTTACCTGGGTGCTGGTCCGAGAAATCTGGATCATCAGGAAAAGTAATTTCCTGCAAATAATTTTTTCAAAATTTATATTTGTGTATTTAATTGCTCAGTAGATGTCAGACTCTAAGCCAGATATAAGCCTTGTTTCCTTTAAAAATTAAGTTTTGAGGCAAAAGCATGGAAAATAAGCTAGGTGTGGTGAAACCTCTTTACACACACAAGTTCTTCTGGTAGTCGTCCACCACAGTAAATTGAAATTTATATTCTGTCTAGTGAAAATTGCCCACAGAATGGGAAGCATCAAGATATGAATGGCAACTTCTTTAATATGGGTTTAATTATCCTTTAACATATTAGGAAAAAAATCGGTGCCTTGGGCAAGCCAGTGAGCATATTTAAACAAAATTCTATTGTTCATTTTCATTTTGAGTTTTAGATACTAAATTTTTGGGGCTATCATTAAATATAACCAAAACCTTCCTGGTGATAGTCAGAAAGGCTATCACTAAAACCAAATATTTTTGTGGATGATCAAGAAACACAGCAAAAACCCTGATGAGCAGACAGTATGTAATGCAAGGGACATTTGCAAATGCTCAAGTCTGAAGAGAAATGAATCTAGCATATAATCTCATTCATATACTGTACTGTACTACAAATCATTTGTTTCCATGATACAGACAAAATTATATGGCACAATATAACAAGCTTTGAGTTACTCTAACATTTTAATCTTATATCTGAGCAAGACACTCAAATACTACCTAACGCAAGATCCACCCTGATCCTACAGGAATGGATCTTAAGAGTCAAGGCAGGGTGACTTCCTGACTCAAGATCAAACATCTCTGTCAGATCCTACAGATCCTTAGTCATTGCTAAGGAAGCAATAGTGGAAATCTTAATCAAGCCCAGTGACCACAGAAATTTTGCTCCAAACTATGTTTTTCCAAGCCCTTTTTAGAACTACTGTATAAGAACTGTCAAACTATAATTTGGGTAAATTTGTATATTAACAAATAAATAAATAAATAAAATTATTACTTTTGTCAAAAACTATAGAAGGAAAGCAAGGGAGACATTAAAGCAATATTGAAATATTTTTATCAGCATGTACAAACTACTTCAATGTTTCCTCGAGTAACTATGCTGCAAACTTTTATCTAAAAATAAAAAATCAAGATTGTCTAATAGGCATCCTAAATTGATGTTATAATGTAACTAGTCAGTTACATGAAAATCATCAATTAAAAAAAAACAAATGAATACAATAATTAAACAATAATAATAATAATAAAAAAAAAATTTGAGACACCTCACATAATTGACCATTTGGTAAAGTACTCTCAGCCTAGGCAGGAAAATACTCAACTTGGTACTTTGTTTCTGGTTATTTGACAAAATTCATCATCCTCTTATAAAAAGGCTTGCAAATGAATGTCAACACATTCCTTGTTATCATTTGTTAATTGCAATAGGAAAATCCTCAATGTTATTTCATCCCCCCACTAAAAATGGGTCTGCCTTTACATTATATTTAAAACAACAACACAGCAAAAACAACTTTAGTGTAACTATTAGCTTTATTTCTCAACATGAAGAACACATTATTATTTCTTGCAGAAGAGCTTATAACTGACTGGATTCAAAGTGCAGAAATATATATGATTCAGAAAATACTCTTTCAAACATTTGTTTTAGAAAGGAAGAAAATGTTTTAAAGAGGAAATAATATTAGAGAATGAAAAAGATAACTGGGTGAACAGGCAAGATGAAGTGTACTGTGCTGTAGTGTAAACGTGATTACAGGGAAGAATCACTTGCAAGGGAAAAAGAGGACACCTTTAATTCTAATCTGCAGCGATGATTCACGGGCAAATGTGACAACCAATTTACTAGAAAGATTGCAGAAGCTCGCTTAGAAAATATCCGTATTTCAAATAAGCATTTATACTATAAGAAATTGTAGCCTTACTATTTATTTTGCCACTGAAGACCAGATCAAGTTTACCATGAAATATTTGAAAATTATCAACACACCAAAAATTCCAGTTAATCTAATTTCATGAATGATTTATATGCAGCTTTACAGACATCAATGAACTATTTTCAACATTTTTACATATAATCCAATATTTACAGTAAAAAAAGTTTACTGCTAATACAATCAAAAAGCAATTATCAAAAAACGCCTCCAAGCCGAGATACTATAAAACTGATTTACAGCAAATATTTTAAAAATCACACACTGAAGGAAGTCAAGACTTGAATATTCAGCAATAAATTTGCTTCATAATTACCTGAGAATGACGTCATCTTTTGAAAAAGTGTCATGATCTAAAACTTCAAATATTACTGGCACGTTTCCATATCTGGTATCAGTGCTACAAATATACTGTAAAAGCAGGAGAGTGCATGTTAGCAATGAACATGCATCTATAAGAATGTCTCTAAGGTTTGTTAGTTTGGTTGAAGTCTGTTTTTGCCAATGTACTTCTACATAATTACTATTTGAACTTGACAATTAAATTACAACTTGAATATTTCAAATAACGAACAAAGATCAATGACATAAAACAAGAAGTAGACTAACTTTTGCCAAGAACAGACAACAGAGGAACATTAGTATTTTAGTATATGCTGCTTACATGCAGGGTGCACCTAGAAATAAAATATTAATAAGAGGCTACAAAAAGCATGCTACAATATAAACCTTTTGCAATCTACAACAAGATGTATTATTTACATCCTTAATACTGGCATGTAAAAAACCCATGTACGTATTTACAGAATAAAAGTAGAGGCATATGTGCATAAAAAAAATGTATATATATATATAAATATATATACTGTATATATATATATATTATATACTAGTATTTAAATATGCTTTTAATACATACTCAGGAAGAGGAGAGTAAGAGGGTAATGGTACAAATGTTAAGTATTATAATAAAATCCCTTAAAACAGAAACCAAATTCTTGCTCAAAATGATTTTGCAAACTTAAAATTTGTGCTTTATTGTATAGCCAGTTAACAGTAAATGTTTCAAGTTTGAAATACTATTACGATTCCTTCTTGTTCCTTATACCTATACTATTAAAATACATCATACCAAAGGGGCTGGGGAGGACATGTCCAATAAGAATATTTCTAGAGTCCATTAACGTGAAGCATTAAAGGTCCTTTATTCAAAATTACTGTACATGAAATGATAAATAATAATGCAATAACAGCAGCATCCAGAGCATGTTTACCCATAAGATTTTTAAATATTTAATATTCATATAAATGAGGTAAAGCAAGTAATTTTCAAAAGGCACCAAGCCAATAAATGAGGTAAAGGGATGCATTGTTTTAGGGCCACACCATTTTATAAAAATGGATAAGAACATTTAACAAATGCTAATCTCAGAACATACCTTTTTAAGCATCACAGTCAACATCAAAACAAACTACTGTATAGGCAATTAGTTTGAACTAATTTTATAATTTTGCATCTACCGTAGTTGCGACATTTTAGGCAATCGATGATATGGAAATTAAATTCGATATTGGTAGTTTATGCTTTTTCATTCTTAAGGTTTCTCTTCCAATTTTCTCTTCCAATTAAGCCACTCCCTTTAAATATTTATTATTTGCAAATCTATTTATAGGGTTAGAACATTGAGTATACAAATGTTCAAAAATTAATGTTCATGAGTACAGCCATTAGTACAGCTATTTTTGGTCACAAATACAGTATATGTATTATTTCATATAATTTTAGAAAGGTCCTCGATTCAATTCCCACACAAAACAGAGATGCCTCTTTTCACCTAGTATAAAACAGGTAACTGGGAGTTAGGCATTTGTTCTAGGTTGCATCCTGGAAAAGGTCAATCGTCAGGCTGGAAAAAGCTTGATTTAGCTAATAGGCTTCCTGTCTCCAACCAAAGGAAGCCATTTAAATTATTAAAGTGATGCAATTTATGTGCAGATTCATCGCTTGAAATGGTCCAATACATATGGTATGAACTTCACACTTAAATTTTAGTTTCCAAAACACCTGTATATTTAAAGCTTACTTCAGTGATTTTGGTATGAAAATGTCCTGAAATGAATTGTATCAAGCATGAGAAAAAAATATGATAACTAAGATTGGGTGGTGTGAGCTGTGCCATCACAACACAAAATGGTGAAATGATTTAAGATATGACGAAGTACTAATGCTAAAGCTTAGTGACTTTTGTCCTTCAATTTTTCTCTTTATTAGCCAATGTGAATTAAGAAATACATAAGCAAAATATTAAACACAATATTACTTGTGGAAAAAAAAACAAAAACATTCAGAGCCTAAAATTAAGCCAACATGGAATTTTTCAGCTTGCATAAAAAAAAAAAAATTTGGAGTGAGATCTGATCTTTCAATACTATATAGTCTTATGTATACTGAAGTTCATATAAAGCATGCAAGTTAACACTTTCGCGCTCTCGGCGCTCAAAAAAAAACAATACCCCAGATGCTTTCGGCACTTCGCGCGCCTACGCGGTAAGACCGAAAAGTGTACACTCTTTTTGACTGTCCTGACAATAATTGAAGGCGCACGTATTTAAATTTGGTATCACTGTGTTCGCAATGAAATTGTCTATAAGAGCATACCTATAAAATGCCGCCCAAGCAAAAGAAGTATCAACACCAAATAAAAAACTATGCAGATCACTCGCCGAGAGCGCCAAACAGCAACAAAATGTTTCCACTCTCTTAATGGTTGCGAAGCCTACAGTTGTCCTACATCGCTAATTTTGGTATCATTGGAATCGCAATAAAATTCTCTACACGGTTATATGCATATGAATGTTTAATATAGGTAATTGCCCACCCGCAAGAGTGTGTGAAGTGGAGAGTAGTTAGCCGCGAGCGCACTGGTGAAAACACAGGGGGGGAAATCATGCTTGGAAAGTTTATACGTTTCCTGACCCTACTTTTCTATGTACGTATTTCTTTTTTATACCAATGTGTTCGCAATAAAATTTTGTATAAGATGAACTGTATAACATTTGTACAAAGCATGTGTAAGAGAAGCGCCAAATATAGAACCACGTCGCTCAGTATGCGTTTGCGGCAGAAACGAACGCATTGTTTTCGTTCGTTTGATGTTTGTCATGTTTATACTTGTTGAAACATTTTATAATTTGTATGACAGTGATCGCAGTAAAATTCCCTACACAGACATATACATAACACATACAAATATTTCCCACGTGTTGGATATATCAACGGCTAAAGGGAACCCACTGCCACACGCTCGCCACACCCCCAAACATACTTTGTGTATTTTTTTTTTTACTCATAGAAGTTTATGTGATATAATATTCATTCTGGTACCAAAACATTCGCAAATAAATTCCCTACAAAACAAAAGTATCCCCATCCATTTCGGTTAAAAAATGGAATTTATAGAAATATTTTTTCGATGGACGAGAAAAGTAGGCTGTTATGCGGAATCGTCAGAGAAAACGGCGACGAGTTATCTCTAATCTAAAGCGCGAAAGTGTTAATTTTGTTTCACTGTCAAAAAAAATTCTTGACAAAAGGGATCATACAGGCTTTAATGATAAAAAATACATAATTAAATTATAAACAATGAGCATTTGTTATACTTAAGAGATCAATTATTACACTCCTAGAGTTTGTCACACACTAACAAATGTTATAGAAATTGCAAAAAATAAAAAGGTTCACAATAAATATTCTTGGTTTCCACGCAGTTATATTAAAAAATGGAGGACAAACAATTTATATTTATATGTTAACAAAATAGAACAAGCAGACTTAGTGTTAATGCTCACTTATCGTTTTTGAATACTATTCAACAGATGTCTTGCTGGTCATCAAGCAGGAATACGCCATAACTAAATTTTGTACTGGGACGCCTAAACTGTTCAATGTGTTCCTAACGAGTTTTTAAATTGGATTTCGCACTCATGTTTATCTAAAAACACATTTTCAAGTTTAACGTAATTAAATTTTTGTATTGAAATGCCTAAATTGTTGAATGAGCTTTGCTCATTCAACAATTCTCATACTCATTCAATGAGCTTTGCTCATTCAACCTCATTCAAATAGCTTTGAAGATTCCTAACTCAAATTTAGTGAAATCATTCAAATTCAAAAAGCTTGTTCAAATTGGTAAATCAGATAAATGAAATGAGCAATCAGGCAACTGAGTTTACATATATAGCAACCAAGCAGGCCAACTAGCAAGAGCGTTGTTTGATTGTCACTGATGACGAGCAGTGCTGGTAAGGGCTTGTGTTTATTTGAATGAGCCTTTCAAGAGGGCATTCTGGAATGGGAGTAGCATTTTCCAGCTTCTTCCTTGCACTACTATGACTCGACAGGAAAGTTTAAAATACCCAATGTGCAGATGCAGAATATTGACCTTTCCTGACCATACATGATCCTGTCCACAGAACAAGCAGAACCTTGCCTAAAGGAACAGCCAAGTGATACAGCTCAGAAAATGATCCAATTTTTATATCAGCGCCCTTTTCCATCCATTCTAATTAAGAACAAAATCAGAATTCTACCTAAACTTTGAGTACTGAATTCAAATGAGTGCAATTTGTTATAAAATATACTGTAGTGTAATTAACAATATAATTACTTAAATAGGCAAATAAAATATGCCACTTTTCTACACTGTTGTAGCTTCTCTTTATCAAACACAAATTAACTAGAAGATCTCTGGGCATGTATTCAATATATGAAGGAGTAATAAATCCAGGAATAAATGTGATGTTCCATGAGCAAACATTGAGTGTACTACAGGCACCAATGTATTCACAACATTAAGGTAATATACCAAGAGTAATATGAGGTATGATAGTCCATACGTGTACAAACATTACGTCAAACAGAACTTAGAATATCCACTAAGTCTAAAAGTTTTAGGAAAAAGTTACTCAGACAGGCATTATATTTAATAGAATTTAAATTTTTGGTCTTCAAATTTGGAAAAGGATTGGTTAAGGGCCTTAAATTGTAACCAATACCCACTGGTACAAAATCTATAGCATATATAATCATAAAGCAAGCTCCTTATCAGGCTACAAAACTAAAAATATATTACAAATAATTAATTCCCACAGAGAACATGCTATGTGCTGGGACCTTAAATATGTTACCTCCCCAAAAAATCATCTTTCTTAGCTCCTGGAATGTTAGCATCCCAGTCCCAGCATTCAATAGAGATGGTCTGACGACGAACCACATCACATATTGCCTGTGAGGGGCAGCAGAAAGATTAAAGAACTTAAGAGAGTTAGTAAGAAGCAAATGCTAATGCCAAGTTCTGCCAGGAAGCTCAATTTTAGCACAGTACTCAAGGATAATGGAATACATTACTCCGGTGCACTGAGAAAAGATCGCATGTATAAAGTATGAATATTTCTCCCTTTTGACCGTGCCCTGCCTGGGTAGTAAACTTGTGTCGTGAACCGCAACCGCGTGACAATATCCAGTCTAGTAGTAATGTCAGTAAGAGTGATTTACACAAATATTGATAAAGTTAGTATAATGACTGTTGGGGCTGGCTGTAAAAGATAATTGTAAATAGCAATTAAAACTTTCACAACAAAATTAGTTCAAATTTTTGGCAATTTATGAGTAATATCAGCAATTAGAAACTTTGCCTTATGTAATTTACTAGAAAAAAAGAAAAAGCTCTGAGGAGCATCCAGGAGGCCTTTTTAACAGTGTTAATACGTTAATGTTTATTACCTCCTCTGGTTTTAACTTGCGAGAACAAAATTTTACAAACATTAGCAGAGTATGGAGGTATTAATGTTAATGAATTGAATGTTTTACATCACATGGCATGTAAAAAAAAATATTGATTACATGCCTGTGAATAGATGATTAAACACAGGAGAGGCCCTGCCTTTATGCTCTTAAAAACTATCCTGGGTATAGCATCTGCAGGGTGACAACATCACGAAGCACACCATGCAATCTCTCCTCATCACTCAAGAAACTAGAAGTACCTGCCCAAAAAGTCATCATTCTCATAAGACTTGAGAGGACTATAGTCATAGTCCCAGCACTCTATAGTCACATGTTGTCTTCGAATCACATTTGCTAATGCCTGCACAGAAATCAAGTGTGATAGTTATAAATTGTGTAAACACTTTTGCACACTGAAACTACTGAATTTTGGTGTCGACTTTGTGTTACAACAACACCAATAAGGTTCACAAAACTGCCCGTGTGCAGGGTGCTCAAACTGGACCTTGTATTACCTGAAATAAAAAAACCTTAAAACTATAATTTTACACAAATATATATACAGAAGCTAAAATAGGTACATTACAAGCATAGCAGAAAGCCACTGAAGAGCCCAAGTTAATACTGCCATATTTAACTGCAAGCAAATCATGGAGAAAAGTGCATTAACCTTACAATAGTTATATAAACATGCATTCTATGTATTTATGTCATGCACACTGCATACATACTTGCATGATGGAAGATATGTCAGAGCAAATAATGTTCAAAGGAATAAAATAAAAGATTTAATGCACATGAAGAAAAAAAATTAGATACAAGGTAAATTTCTGTTTAATGTGTATATTGTATGAGGAAATGATAGAATGGGAAGTGAAGTATGGTTGAATTAGTAAAATATAAGCCCTTGTTCATATAAATACAGTAGCATGATAAACATGTACAATATCTGTATATGATAATTATCTTTTGACCCTTAAAGTCAATCATTATATGTCCCTTAAAATGAGCCTTATGGTTTCAAGAATAGTCCACAGGTACATGCACATTATTAGCACCATCCAGCATTGTGTAATTACCCAAGTGATAATTACACAATGCTGAGTGATGCTAATAATGTGCATGTGGTGTGTACTCGCCTAGTTGCGCTTGCAGGGGTTAAGCTCTGGCTCTTTGTTCCCGCCTCTCAACTGTCAATCAACTGGTGCACAGATTCCTGGGCTCTATCATATCTACATTTGAAACTGTGTATGGAGTCAGCCTTCACAATATTACTGCCTAATGCATTCCATTTGTTAACTACCCTGACACTATGAAAAAATTCTTTCTAATGTGTGTGGCTCATTTGGGTACTCAGTTTCCACCTGTGCCCCCTTGTTCGTGTTCCATCAATGCTAAATAGCTTGTCTTTGTCCACCCTATCAGTGTGTGTGAGTGTGTGTGTGTGTGTGTGATTAATTATACATACACACTGTCTGTTGGGTGATGCTAATAATGTGCATGTACTTATGGACAATTCTTGAAACCATAAGGCTCACCTTAAAGGACACAGGATGTAATTACTTAGTGTAATTACTCAAGTGTAGTTACAGGATGAGAGCTACGCTCGTGGTGTCCTGTCTTCCCAGCACTCTGTCACATAATGCTTTGAAATTACTGACATGTGCATGTGTTAATTTATATTAATACTGTATTGGTATTACAAAGTAATAATACTTCTAGAATATGCTGAAAAAATCTAATAAATTGATGTATCTGTTTGCAAAAGTAAACAAAACAATATTTACCTTTATGTATGTCTGGTGATGTGTGAATTCAGCAGGATTGACTGACTTAAGTCTGCCCCTCATACTGAATCCCACACTGCACCAAGCCAGCACAAAAGTAGATTTTTTTCATTATTCATTACTTTATTCATATGCAGTATATATGATGACCAAATCACAACTCACAAGATGGAGAAGCAACGACGTTTCGGTTCGTCCTGGACCGAAACACTGTCGCTTCTCCATCTTCCGAGTTGTGGTTTGGTCATCATTTCTTCAGCCACGTTATTGTGACTCATCGTCTGCATGATGTATGTATGTTTGTCTGTATGTTTGTCTGTATGTATATGTATGTATGTATGTATATGTATGTATGTATGTATGTATATGTATGTATGTATGTATATGTATGTATGAATATGTATACACTGACTTTGATTACACTTAGCCTTTAAGGGTTAAGGTAATTAGCAATAAATTATGTAAATAATAAATACCTGTAGCTGATAAAAATTAATTAATAATTTTTGTCAGCATTTTGAGAAAAAGTAATATGGTTATGGTGGGGAAAACACTGATATATCTTACTATGAATTATGAATCAAACTTTCTCACCTCCCTAGAAAATCGTCCTTGGCTGGTCCATCATCTACATCGAAAACCTCAAATTCTAATTCTTGGCTCCGAATTACATCGGTCAAGAACTGTCAAATATTAGGTGAAGTAGGGATATAAAACATTTTAGATAAAATAATTAAAAAGAAGCAAAGTAAGATATATTAATCTTTAAAAACAAAAGGGGGAAAATACTGAAAAAAAAAAACAAATGACATACACCACACATTCGTATACAGAACTTACATCCATGAATTGACAATTACACAAGGAACACACATTTTAATATGGCATCATCAGAAGTTATCAAGCTAAACAGCTCACCCTCAAAAATCAAAATGACAATGTTACGTGCAAATGGCTCAAACACAACGGCAAAGCTAATTATAGTCATTCAGTTTACATGAATAAATTAAACCATTCACACTGCTTCACACTTGTCATAAAGTACTGTATACACTTGCTGCTAAACCTGATGGATAACTCATTTGAGTGCAGACTAAGCCTGACTTGGCCGAGCACCTGTGATGGATACCCACCTGTGTTACACAATGCACTAAAACCCAATCTAGACAAAAGATTTCATGCCTAGAATATATTCTATATAATTCCTTCCTCAGTATTTGCCAATTCAATAGAAATAAAGTATATACTGTACAGTAAAGATGCTATATTTGTTTGAAAGATAACTTCTAACCAGAGCTACAGAAGATATTAGTTATAGCAATATAATTTATGAGCCAATTTTTTTTTATAAATATTCCAAAGATTCAGTGATTCAATGACTTAATTACAGTATTTTCTTTATTTATTGCACAGGCCTTGTGATATAAGTTTTAAAATTAAAGAATCAACAATTTTTTTTTGGGCATAAACAATAGAAACTACTGAGTGAATCTAGCCTATTTCACTTCAGAACTAAAAAATGATAAATCACTATAGTCTATTAGTGAACCACATTATTCTTCCCTAAGCTTGTGACAAGCAAGTTCTTTATATTAAAGTGACTCATTATAGTTTTGAAGAATTTATACTTGGAATTCTAGCACATCTAAACAAAATTATATTCATATTTAAATAAGGTATCATCTACTGAATGAAAATTCTTTGATTTCTTGTAAATCATCCACTCAAATAATTTGTACTTAATATATAATATAAATGATGAAACTAAATGTTCTTTGTGTGCATTGTTAGCATCTTAAATCACAAGTGTAACAACCTCATGTATAGCAAAAAGATGTCAATCTAAATTAAAAAAAATATGTAATAGAACTGGCATTTCCTTTTGGAACAATTATATTTTTTTTGTTTACTGCAAGATAAATGTATTATGAGCAAGGAACTTAAATCAAGATTCATTCTGTTCAAGCAAATGTGCACAGGAATTTATGTTTTTTTTATTTTAAGCAAAGAAAATGCATAATCAATAAATATCAAATTATGCTAATGCAACTGAAGACTTCTGAATAAATGAAAATGAACATCTATGTAAATTTATTATGAAGTTGAAACCTGTTAAAAATATACATATATATATAAAATAATTGTTATTCTCAAGAGATCATCTTGGAACATGTACATTTCTTTATTATATCAACATCTTAAAGAATCTAATGACAGTTGGTTTGGAAACTCCAGCAAATATGTCACTACCAATGTGAATGTCTTTTCAGATGACTGAATACAGGTCTAAGTGCAATGTAAGACCCAAGTTTTGTGAATATGGAAGTGTGCAGAACAAGAATTAAGGAACGCTAACATATGGATATGTGCACAGATACGGAACATGTAATTTATTACTTAATTTTGTCAGCTGGTTTAAATGAAACCAGCTGTATGTCTGGATAACTGTTTCAGTGCCCTCGGATATTGCATCAAATTTAATACGTACCAGTACAGACACTCATTAACTGTTCTCTTGTGCATACAGTACATGGACATACACATGGCCATTTGCATGTAAGTTATGGTGTTCCCTAACCAAAAAAAGTTGGATATAGGATAATGATACTATTTGAATGAATGTCATGGTGTACTGTGTCATGGTGTGCTGTGTCATAAGGAGTCACTGCAGTCAGCCTGTTGGTTCATTCTAGGCAGAACCCATCTAGACCCCACTCCTCTCCCCCAATTTACCATTTAGGCTTTTACCATTAGCTACTGTACACCATTTATCTCAATGTTGGCCACAGTTTAATCCACTCCTCTATCACCTTATTAAACCAATACATCCCCATATTAATTAATTACCAGGTAATTAATTATATCCTTCTTGAATCGGAACTTCTCCAGCTAATAGCCATTGTTAAGGACTCTGACCTGGGTCGTGATTCATCAAGCACTAACCACTTACAAAACCTGTACATCTTTCTTCAACCATGACAGCTTTGTTTACATTTATTAAGCAGTTCATGAGCTCCAAAATACTACGAGGTTGTTTATAATAACAATAACTTTAGGTTGTAAAGCTTCGAAGCTCATAAACTGCTTAATGTATGTAAACAAAGCTGCTGTGATTAAGGAAAGATGAAGCACATAAACGGTGATTAAGGTTTCGTAAGTTGTTGCATAAATGCTCGATAAATCCTAGCTCAAGCCTGATAGTTTAAAGACCATTCTTATATCTCCCCCCATTGATACCCCTTCATCCACTAGAAGCCCTCGATCACATATTCCCTTGCCCTGTGCCCCCTCCAAGGAATACAACCCGGGCTTTCATAACCTCTCCTCATGTGGGAGCTCCCGAACACCAGGTCACCCTATGTTTGATTTTCTCAAGGTAATCTATGTCCACACTGTTATACGGTGACCAGAATTGGATGGTGTAGTCTAAGTAGGGCCTCACCAGAGCCAAATTGAAAGAATGTTTGCGCTTTTATTGCTGATGTTCCTAGTTATAAATCAAAGTATTCTATTCACTTTGTTATGCACAATGATACACTGAAGCCTAGGGTTCAGATCACTGTCACTTATGACCCCCATGTCTTTTTCCACAAATTATTTTGCCTTAAGATACATCATTCATCCAACAGATGGTGCCAGTCATTTCACAGGTTTAATTTTTGCACTCGATATTAAACGTCATCTGCCACTTTCTTTCCAGTTCTACAATGTGATGAGGTCTTTCTGGCATCCCCAAAGCAGATCTCTAGGGCAAACCACTAGTTATATTTCTACACTCTGACTTAATGCCTGTTTATGTCAACTTTCCTTCCAATCCTTCAGTTAGGCTCTAATCCAATTAAGAACATTTGGTCCAATACTGTGGGCCTTAACTTCCCTGATTAACCTCATGAGGGGTACGGTGTCAAAGGCATTACTAAGATGATAAATTGACTTATCATAACCCCCTCTTCACAATTGGTCTTTCTATTGTCTTAAAAAATTAATGTCTTTCTGACATTAGTCTTGTGACATATCTCTAGATATTCTGAGTAGTTGTTTACTACGTAAGGGGTGACTGGAAGTATGATTCACTTCTGTGATCTAACCATGTTGGTTGCTGGGAGTGATGGCGGAGGGGAGGGGGGGGTTGTTTATCTTAAGAGGGTAAGGGGTCACCATTCCTGTTGGGTCCTGCTCTGTCTAGCCGCTTCTGACTTTCATCTCATTTCTGTGTATTCTGTGTTTGGTTCTGGGTCAGCCCTATGCATGCTCCTACTATTTCAGACATGTTTTCCCAATCCAAACATTCTACTGGCAATATGCTTGTGTAAGCACATGCATTTATAGATCAAAGCATACATGCGCATGTACATATGTATGTATTCATCCATGCAAGTGTGTATGTGTATGCAAGATCTTTAGTTCTTGTGCACTTTGGTCCACTTCTGTTCACTTCCATGCATGCCTTGTATATGCAAATATTCACAGGTTTTATAAGTATATTTATGTGTAATACTCCAAGTGACTGTAAATAATTGATTCATTGTCAGCTCTGAGCACCCATGTTTCCATAAATTGTATAATTTAATGAAATGAAGAGTTAATGGATTCAGTGAAGGCCATGCATGATCAAGTGCCTTAACAAATTCAACCAAATTCAATGTACCAGTTACAATTTTACAGAGCTGTCATATTACATGAATGTAAAGAAATTAGCTCACTGGAAACAGATTATCTCAGGGCTGCATTTGAATAATAATTAGTCTTAAGAGGGACAAAATAATATGTGCAGGTAATCCTTTATGACAATGTTCACCATTCAGCTCCAAATGGCAAAAACAAACAATTGTGACTCAAATAACCTGAGAAGGTAATGATAAAGAGTGGAGCAACTAACCTCACAGTAGTAGTCCCACTTGGGGTTGATAGTGTTGTTGATGGTCTTGGTCTGGAACTTTTGGGCACCCAAACGTAAGATGCAGTACGGATCAGACTTACCCATACCCATAATGCCAACATCTTTCTTCATCAGATTATGGGCTTCTATGACATTGATTCGAAGGACGCCCTAGAAGGTTATAATCTTTTACTACTGTGCTACTAGAAGCCAGAAATAAACGAAGCCGTACTATAATTAAAGATGGCAAATAAGACTTTAAATAATTCAAACTTACAGGTAAACACACAACCTCTAGTTTACATCTCAGACATGTTTGTAGAATAATGTTAGGGTAAGATATATTACTGAACCAGTTTAACAGGCAAATGTTTCAACAATTCAAAGTATGGCAAACAGCTCATTAAAAATACACAATTTACAGGTCTATTTATAATGTATACAAAGTAAGTAATTATCAAAAGAAGGCACCAAACCGGGAAGGCTAAGTAATTATAATGTATAAAAAGTCACACTAAATTTGCACTGTAAATTATGCAGTAATGTATATGATATTTAAAAGTTCTTCTGCAGTTAACATCTGCTTTTAACAGGAGGGAAAAGAAAGAAGTGAAGGAACACTGCAACAGTGAACAGGGACACTTGCAGTGACTGCAATGTGACTGATGTCGGAGACAGAAACATAACAAATAACTACTGTAGTTATTATGTCATGACAATACAATATCTTCCCCTAATTTGCTCATAAATGCAGAACTACAAACCAAATTCACAATTACTACATTCAACCTTAAATTATTTTTACAATTGACTATTAATGGTATGTATCACTTAAATTTATATTAATCCACTTTGAAAATATATTTTTTGTCAATTTTCTTATTTTAAGAGACCCCTAAATATAATTTTTCTATCCAGTTTATGAGGATTGTAGATACACTTTTTTTTTTTAGTCGCATTATTGTCAAGATTCCTTAGAATAGATGAATTATGCATTACAATAAGAGAATGGGAACTGTCCAATTTTCCGTGACTGTGAAAGGCAACAAACGCGAGTCATAACGAAGTTATAAGCCAATGTTGTTGACAACTCACAGCTGGAGATGGACACTTGAGCTCTGCAGTGTCTATGTCCTGGACCAGTTGGATGGGGTACCTGTTAGGCAGCACCATCATGTGTGCAATCTGCTCTATCACGATACTTCTCAGGATGTCACTACAAAACAAAACACATTGATTATAATACACTAATATGCACAGAAATAATACAAATTTTTGGCATTTCACTAATTATATAATGCAGAAACTTACAGAATTCTGTGTATTTTCTAACACTGTAGTTTCATATATACAGTGCGATGCCATAATATATTATGCATCCTAAATTAATTACAGATTTACCCATGTCTTGAACAAAGCCTCTCATTATAAAGACTATGGCAAACACATGACCACATTCGTACGCTGTAATTACTTTTTGTACTTTTGTAATTTTGTACGTACTTTTGTAATTACTTACTGGGTTGAGCTCAAATTGCATTTAAATAATATCCATTCTTTTTATATTAAATAAATGCTTCTGCTGAGCATTAGAAAAAGACATTTGTCTACTACAGGAATATGTAACTTGTTATAGAAAACAATATTATTGTTTCAAACTATTATTTTATCACATATGGTATTGTACTTTTAATGTCTATAATTTGTGCATTCTATTGCAGTACATAATTTTTTAAAATTTTTGTATGTATGATTTTATGCCGTTCCTTGCACCACACATCCTGTGCACCCCCCTTGCACTGTACCACACATCCTGTGCACCCCCCTTGCACTGTACCACACATCCTGTGCACCCCCCTTGTACTGTACCACACATCCTGTGCACCCCCCTTGCACTGTACCACACATCCTGTGCACCCCCTTATACCACACATCCTGTGCACCCCCCCCCCGTACCACACATCCTGTGCACCCCCCTTGCACTGCACCACACATCCTGTGCACCCCCCTTGCACTGTACCACACATCCTGTGCACCCCCCTTGCACTGTACCACACATCCTGTGCACCCCTTTATACCACACATCCTGTGCACCCCCCTTGTACCACAATCCTGTGCACCCCCCCCCCCTGTACCACACATCCTGTGCATCCCCCCTTGTACCACACATTTTGTGCACCCCCTCCCCCTTCCACCATTCACCCTGTGCACTTGCACTAGGTATCTTGTGCACTTAATTGCACCACACATGTGTACGTGCTTGCACAAAACATCTTAAGTGCACGAGAAGATTGTAACTTGTGAAGTCCTAATGAAAATCAGCTGTGATGATTGTCTCACCTTAATCCAGGCATATCAAATACATCAGCAAGGCCAATGAGATTGAAATCAACGTCTGGGTTGTTGAGGAAGAATAACTGCAGGCCACCAACGAGGGGAATTTGTCTAACCAGCGGCTTCATCACTACGCGCATCCTTCCCGAGATCTGAGTGATGGAAAATCTATGAGTAAATTTTGTTAAGAAATATATGCTTAGGCATATAAGCTAAAACATATTTAAACTTATTTACATAACATACTCCAATCAGACTAATGTTATCTTACATCTATCAGGCTTTTTCTTCAAATATACAATAAGGACATTTTTCTTCCATATAACTTCCAGTATCGCTTCCATAAGCAACCGAAACTGAACAATCTACAACCTGTACAGAATTTACATCATGTGGGCAAAGCACATGAAATATTTAAAGATTTCCATTTTTTTTTTTTTTGGGTGGGAAAGGTTGGAATTGAAGAGAGGGGGTAAATTAATGCACATAAACAAAGCAGTGGCCATTTACATCTACAGTAGGAAAACTGGGAAAACAGTAAAAAACAGTATTTTCACAGTAGGAAAACATTATAAAAGTATCAAATAAATGCAGAAACACATGAAAAACAAAATTGAAAAAAAAGAATAAGTGGTTAATAAATAGCAATGAAAGTACATTGTTAAAACCTACCTGTAAGTCCTTGATGCCCATCTTGAACTTGGAGACGCTTACTTCAAACTTGCAATCTCCAGCATACCTGCATAAAAAAAAAAAAATACAGACATCCAGAAAAACTGCTGTACTGTAAATGTATTGAGCAGGTACTATACAATGACAGTACTGTATAGTACATGCTCAATACAGACACATTTTAGATGTCTCTGAGTAGGGTCCTGGTATGCCCAGAATGTTTAAGGTCAGGAATGTGCTGATGGTTCAGAATGTTAGTGTTAAAATGCCTTATAGAAAAGTACAGTATTACATGATTATGTACTCCTTCCAACAATGACTTGGTTAGCAAGACATTGACATAAAATGAGAAAGATGAATCTAACATTTAAGCTGTTAAAACTAAACTGCTTACAAAAAAGGAATGCAGCATTGCAGCACCTATCTTGGAGTGAACATATGCAGCACTTTCCTAGGGTTCATTGAAGTAATGAACACTTATTTAAAGAATGTGATAAGTATGATGCAAATGAGGCCTATATGGAACTGCCATACTTAGATACAGGATAAAACACTGTTTTGCGTACAAATTGGGTCTAACTATCCTCCTGTATCCATATGTTACAACAGCCCATACAACTATTCGAACAGTGCAGTATTCCTCAAGTCTGTATGCACCACTTCCACAAGCACTGGGTTAGGTAGGGTCTTTATTATTCAGATATTTCTCCCATTACTCCTGAAAGAGCACATGCAGGCTTCCTGTCCATTGCAAAACAAATTATATTGAATAAAGACAAATGCCAAGATTAGAAAAACGAGATACTGTAGTAAAGTAGACCAAATGAAACATTTAACGAGTGGAAACGTGGAAACAATGATGAATCAGCATATAAAGAGCTAGTGATACGTGAATTCAAAACACGGTACAGTACCCCTAAAAATAAAAAATAAAAAAATCCACATTAAGAAGTCATATTTCAAGGATAAATGTCTGTAGACAAAAAATTGACTGAGACGTTTATGTATAATCAAGTACTGTATTAAGCAATTATAACAAGTAAATAGAAATTGAAAAATTGCCCACTACAGCTCACTTTGAAAACAGTTCTGCATGTTAAAAATATATATTGGTGATATTCTATAATATTCCTGACAACACTTAATAAACAGTTAACAAAAAAGTGGTTGCAAATATTTTTTTTAACAATTTAGGAAAATAACCTTCAAAAGCTGTTATTTAAATACTACTTACGCAAAATCCATATCCATGATTATTTCATGGCGTGAAGTGTCATCATACACCTTAACTCCAGAAAACCTTGGAGGTGTGTCTCCAAGAATGATCTTCTCAAATTTAAAATTATTGAGCTTGTATTCTTCAAAGGCAGTACGCATGCTGGGTTCAATGGAAAATTTGCATAGATCTTTAACATAATGACCAGCATAGGGCCACAGCTGACGAATTATCTGGAAATAAATTAAGCAACATTAAAACGTGTGTGTGTGTGTGTATGTGGTGTTTAATCATTAATATCTAAAAGATATAGTCCAGGGGCTTACAAAAGCTATTAATCCCCCAATGACTGGTAAATATTATTTATGTTATGGGATACTATTGCTGAAGGCATTAAATGTGTCATGGGTATCTTGTAGAAAAGGACGAGGCTGTCTACATGATCATCTATCATTTACTGGCCAAACCCAATTGTGCCTAACCTTACTGATACATTTCATGTGTCAGAGTGAGAGAGAAAGAGAGAGAGAGAGAGAGAGAGAGAGAGAGAGAGAGAGAGAGAGAGAGAGAGAGAGAGAGAG